TCCGCTCGACAAAGTCGACAGCGGAGCTAAAAATACATATGGTAGAGGGAAGTTTTGTAACCAAATTTGCCGAGTTCGCAGTTTTTCGCCGATAAAAAAATAACTACGACAAAAAGTCATGGTTTTTCAGCATTTTTGTAATAAAGTAATTCTCTATCAATAATCCGCCCAAAACATGAACATTTCTACTAATTCTTGTGTTTTTTCGACGTTTTTCGAAACAAACCTGCGATCAGACAGCGAAATTAGAACATTCCGGAGGGGGTGCTACAGAAGAGCCTCGCGGGGGCTCTTTGGCAACGGCCGCAAACGTATCGTGTCTAGCCATTGGTTGGCCACATAGAGGTTAAAATACGCGTTGCATTTGGCTTTTCCGTTTCATGTATTTTTAAATTTCACTGCGGAAATTTGCGGTATTTGTTCTATCAATGCCTAACGTTGGACGACTTTTGCAATGAAAAATATCAGGAAAGAAGTAATCACTCATCTTGGAAGCGTCCGTATGCAGGATTTCCGGTACCTACAAGTGTAAAATGACCTTTGCGATCCGATAAAGGTGTGCATGCACAATTCTTTTATTTATGGTTGCGCATTTAATTTTATAGACGATGTTTAAACGGATTTTTTTTTTTTTTTCAGTTCTACTCTAGTTTTCTTGTGTAAATAAGCAGGCTACCATCATGTAGATAAAACAACTTCGAACAAGGTACGTCTTTTGCTGTATTCTGTATTATTGTTGTCTGTTTGGGCATGCGCAGTGCGTCGAGAATCTTCGCAAAGCTTCCGAATATAGCCGAAATACGTGAGCAGATTAACGGTGACATTGTACAGCACGATTGTACAGCGTGTTTGCCAACGAAATTAAAATGTGTAAACAACTCCAAAGCATCATGAAACCAGCGGAAACAATAGCGTCATCACTCCTTCTCTTTTCTACTTCCATTTGAACTCGTGGAGATTAGACTGTCGATATTTTTCGGGCCTAACAGAGTCATTTATTTTCAAACGCCGTAGTCGGTTTAACGACAAGTCTCAACGGGAACGCCACCAGACAATTTCCACATAATGCCGCACGAGGGCGTTTACATGCTATAACAGTCTCTCGGGCCTCGCTTGAAAAATGCCCTTCGTCATTTCGTTAAAACGACTACGGCGTTTGAAAATAAAAGACGCATAAGCATGATTTTCTGACCGCTCTGTAACTCTGTAAGGGTTACTCGGAACAAAACCAAATTTTTTTGGTTGTAAAGGGAATACTTACAGCAACAGCAAGCGACAGTTTTTTTTATAGAAAATAGAGCACGGAAAAATTACATCAGACGATAAACTACAAGCACAGGGTCTGTCACACACATTGTCTAATCACCAAGGTCTCGTGACTGAAACCCCTAACATTATACTGTTTTCGCTGTGATTTTAAAACTGATTATTGCACGTTTCATGAATTCATTATTAAATATATTATGATCTTATGCAAGTAGCATTGTAATTATAATAATCAATTTTTATGCGACTTTTTTGGAAAATAACCAGATCAAAATTATATCTTGCCATAGTTTAAGTTTGTTCAATATTTGCTTTTGTTTTAACTTGCGCACACTCGTCCTTGTTGCCATACATCAAATTTGTTGGGTTATAATCGCAATAAGAAAATTATTTGTTTGTTCACATTACCCCCCCCCCCCCCAAAAAAATTTGAAGTGAAGTGTAAAAACAAATACAAATCAATGTCTACTGCTCTTTTTTATTCACAATAACTGGCAAAAAAGTAATTATTAAAAAAAATCAACTGATATAAGTAATATATCTGAATTCATAAATTGAACATACAGTAGTTTAGACGTGACCCATTACAAAAATACCCCTAGGAACCTTTTTTAAAGACGAGAAAACCCACCCTAAAAACCAAGTAGTAGTACTATGCAAATTGATAAATGTATAGGAAGACTTTTCAAATTTGTTCAGTTTTTAGTGTTCATAGTATTAGCTCATACAAGACAAATCTTATTTTTCGATTGCAGTCCTGGTGCCGAGTCTACATTGGCATGAAAGGATAACCAGGACTAAGAAGTAAAATGGGTGAATACAAAAACGCCAAATAAGGAAATAATGGACTCTAAATATTTTGTACAAAGCACAAATTTACCAAATTAGAAAATGTAAATGCATAGTCCTGAATAAACAATGTTGATCGACCGAATATATACCAGGTGGTAAAAAGAACGCATTTGCCACGATACAAAATATTATTTGTGAGACTATTGTTATTAAAAATTCATAATATCAAGATGTCTCATTCATGATATGATAAAGCATTCATATGTCATAATCAAATATGGTCATAATCTGCATATTTATATATTAAGCATTGCAAAGCGTGCATTTAAAAATAGAATCATTAACATTCTACATTTTTTGTATCTACTTCCTTTTTAAAAAAAATTAGGTCTGATCAAGCACACTCCTATAAAACTGTAAACTGGTCTTAACTGCCATCATTGAAATGTTATTACAAATATTACTTTCCACAGTATTTTGAAGTCAATTTAAGATCGTATGTATGGAATGTGAGATTATTTTATTCATCCTGCAAAGCATGTAAGAATTTTTGATTTTTCCAATTTCTGGTTTCGATTATTTTTGATTTACACCAATTCAATTTAATTGCAACCAAAGTCGTGACAAATAAATGACACATTGGTGATCTTTTTTTTTTCATATTAACTGTTGTCCAATCCATTATTTTAACATTACTGTAAATATTTCCTTTTTTAAGTATATATCGCATATTTTTTTGTTCTACTTTAGATATGTTAAAATGGAAAAAAATTCAAACAAATAGTATCAGTCATTAACAAGGCATTATTTGAAAGTTACAGTACATAATAATACAATTCCAGCAACCTTAATGGATGAAAAGATAAAACAGCTGTAATTTCTATTTGTTTACTTCCTCTGTAGTAAACATAGCCCACAAGGCTAACATTATCCTTAATTGTTATATCATACATTATTTTAATGAATCAACCTCCTTCTAATATGAAATTGATAATGTGAGTCGCCGATTATTTCTTAAACCACTGAAAATTGGGGATTTTGTACTAAAATAAATGACAATACAAAACGGGTGGCACATAGTCAACAAATATAGAAATGATAGCTTATTCAGATTCCCTGGCTCATGTTGGAAAAATACATGATGACAAAGAGTATAATTCAGATTACCAAGCCCGCTAAACCATACTGATCAGAATTGTTCCCAGGCTCATGTAGCATATGTGGATAAAAATTACAGATTACCTGGTTCTCTTTTACAGACAAGGTTGACACTACCCACAATTTAGGATTGATAATTCCAATTAAAGCAAAATACAAATTCTATACATAATGTATAAATATTGTCTTTAATCTCGTAATTCAACATAATTCGCTGGAAAGAGGCCATTTTTCCCATGGCATGTACCCCTCCACCATCCTGCATCAATCTATATAAAGGTAAATATCAAAATGGATTCAGTATAAAGTTGATAATTTCATGATCAAATACAGTACATAACAAACACATCAGGCAAAAACATGCCTTTTGTTTCAATTAGATCACATAGACTTCAATGAAACTACAAAATGTGTTTACTAAGAAATAAGTGAAGAATACAAACCTGTTCAATATTTGTGATGATATCATCCGGATCAAATGAAATCTCATCTTCATCCGCTATGAAGATATAAAAAAAATATTTAAACAATCGCTACATAAAATGAGGGATTACCAAGATTATAGGGACAATTGATCGTAAGTAAGGGATCAAAGTAAATTGATCAGAAATATGGGTTAGCAAAGTCAGAAGGTATATATTGTCTTAAATGAGAATACCATTACATGTATATTGTTTACACATCTGAACAAAAGTTATGGACAGTGGAACAGACCATTAAACATATAGTGAACTAAATAGTGATCCCAGAGCCACCAATGCCCAGATTAGAACTGGTTTGCACCATACAAAAATAGACTGCTTGAAAATTCTGAGTGAAATTTTTACAGCAACACATTTCAATGCTCTTGCAGAGAATGTATCTCGCATGTATTAAAGTGATATGATATATAGTGTGGAATATCACTTACCGGCTTGATAGTCATACACTGCTACAGCTGTTGGTCCAGTATTTGAGGGTACTTCCCCAACCTCTGCATAAGTATCGTCTTCTGGTTCGTCAACTGAAGAAAACATATATCGAATATGTATTGAAGGTATACATAGTTACATTCAAATAGATGTGTAACAATTGGAAATGATGCATATGGCAAACAAGATATATAGCTTTTTAACAATAGGTAGTCGTGCATTTACATACAAGAATTTTTAATAATTGGAACTGATGCATATGGCAAACAAGATAGCTTTTTTAACAATAGGTACTCATGCAATTGACATACAAGATTTTTTAATAATTGGAAATGATGCATATGGTAAACGAGAGTTAACAGAGCCATCTCGATGCTGGGAAAATAAAGAGTATTTAAAGGTGTATTTTGGAGCAATGGATTGGCGAACAGGCAGAAAAGCAATTTCAAAGACTTTGACTTTGTTTTAATGAAAACTTGAAGTATACATGAGGGTACGTGTTATTATTTATTTTGGAAACTCAATTTTTAACTGAAGGAATTAAACTAAATTAAATAATCATGTTTGTTTATTTTGAACCTTAGACTACTGTTCAACTCGGGACGTTTAATTGTACTTAGCGTATGTTACTATGACAATCAACCAATTCGAGAAAAACAGTTGACAATGACTAAATGCATGGCCACAGCCAAATCGCTGTTTAATTGAAATAACAAAAATCAAAGAAAACAGAGAACTCTAAGACAGGAAGAGAAACACGAGCGATGTGGTCGAACAACATGCATTACGGCAGCCATGTTTGTTTCACCTC